ATGGCACGCTTTGATTTTGAAGAAAAAATCCAGAACAGTTTTTGACACCTTCGATACCAGAAGCAACAACAAAATACACGCAAATGTTGTTTTTGCTCTACTGATACTACCTGTTTAATGTGCCTTGGGCAGTACTCTACATAGCACAACTTTGTTATCGACTGCTCGATCAGCCGTTTATTTAGCGTGCTGATTTTGCAATCGTTGTTTTTTAGTACAGTTAATTTTCATATGCCTAACTTTAAAAATAAGTGATGTGGAGAGAAAAGAACTTCAGCAAAAAAAAAATTGATTTTGGACGAATTCATGCAAAATCTACACGTCTCCCAATGTCGGTTAGTAAAATTGCTCAAAATTGGAAGGTCGACGGTACAAAATGTATTGTCAAATATCAAGAAAAATGGCAGCATTGAGAGAAAGGCGGAATCTGGCGGAAAATCAGGCACTATAAATAAAATAGTGTAGAAGGATGTTCTAAGGACTTTGAGAAGGAATCTGAATCTTTCTGAACATGTTGTTGCACCTGGAGTGTTGTTCTGAGAACCTGTATTGTTTTGGGCTGATTTGGCAACAAGCCATTGTGCAAAAAAAGCGCCATAGTTTTATACACAAAATGGAATAAAAATGCACGGCTTCAAGAATAACGCAGTTCCGCAGAATGTGGCGAAAACAAGCTCAATCGATCAACGAAAGGGATGTCCAAGTATTAATGGCGGGTGTCATCTATAAAGTACGGGTATTTTGGCGTGGAAATTAATTCTAATAATATTTGTAAATCTTTCATTTAAATAGAAATAAAAGAAGATTCTAAAAAAGTTTCGACTGAATTATTCACATTTAAATTAGTTTTTTTGTTATTTAATACCTGCCAGATTTTAACTGAAGCAGATCTTATATGCATTTTTACTTAATTGCTCATAACTCCTATATTTATTGTTTAATTTAGATTTTCAGAGGTGTTACAAAAAAGATATGGGAATTGCAAATTGCCGAAATTTGGAACCGATATCGGTTTGAAATGGTGTTATGAAACCGACTTGATTTTACTTTTTTCAAAGATAGGCACAACCGATATTCGAATCAGCTGTTTGTTTATTGTAAAGTAAGAAATTAAATTGAAAAGTGAACAAACTTGACTTCTGCCGTGGTAGCGTTACTTTTAAAGAATGCCACTGGAGCAGTAGCAAGATTTTGAGAGATAAGAGCAATCCGCTGGAACTGCCAGAGGCATTCGCCGTAGATCTCACATTTGCTTAAGATACGTCTACAATTTTGCAGGTTTATTGACCAATATCGCCTTAATAAGGAAGCTTTTGTAATGGTGCTAGACGTTATAAAATACAAGCTATGTAGATTAATTATCCATTTCTCCGGTGCCGCTACTTGCAGCAGCTTTAAGATTTTTCACTGAGGGATGTTATCAAAGATCTGTGGGTAACGATTTGAGCGTATGCCTCGCGAGGAGCACGGGGTCGGTGGCGATAAGGAAGTGCTGAAAGCTCCAGAACAGTCAATCTGTAGACGCTGGGTTAAACATGAAATGAACGACAGATAAAAACGAAGAGCAAGAGAATATTTCCTTACAAAATTCCGCATTCCAGGCATTACTGGATGCCTTGATGGAACGCACGTTAAAATAGTAAAACCGTCGGTTGGCTAGCATTTATATATTATTCGGAGAGGGTATTTCAGCATAAATGCGATGATTGTATGTAAGTTCAAAAATGTGTAGGTACATCTATTAGTCTTTTATATATATTTTTTTTTTTGAAGATTTGTGATAACGGTATGTTATACTATGTTCAAATTGACGAGTTAAACGGGCTTAAACCAGTTAAATGAACACAACGTGTTCGTAAACAAGTTAAATCGCATGGAATTGTTGTTGAAAAATTGAGCCAGTTAAATCATTTAACTCGTTTAAAAACCAGTTCAGCGCAGAGTTGTATCAGAAAGCTTTCTGCTTCAGCCAATCAGAAGAAGCCAAAAGCTTTCATTTGACACGTCAATACTCAAAAAAGTCTATTTTCAAAAATATTTAAAACTAAAAATCATCGAAAAAATATCAAAATTGTATGCATGTCTGCCCGCCAGAAAAGAGGCAAGGCGATAACTAGTTATTTCCCATTTGGTCTCATCTTAGGCACAGATAAATAGTGCATAAGAACGAAACATTTTGAAGCCTCTAAGTATTCCGTATGCGTTAATATCACGAAGCAGACATTCGCAAAAACAAATTTAAACACAAAAACTTGATTTTGAATATTTATTTTTATTTTTATTTGAAATCAAACAACCGTCAAAGTTGACTCCAAATCATGATACAAAAAAGAAGGTAGTTTCAATAAACAACTTTTTGATAAAAGAAGATTTTTGACAATTGCTCATTGTTAAAAAATTCGAAGCGGCGTTACCCAATTTAAGTGTATTGGTAGAGAGGATTTTATATCATAAATTTGGGATTATGTATAAAATAGTTCTAATAACATTTAAAGTAATTAAAATCTTATCTTAAAAATGTTTAAATTTTACACTAAATACGATGACCACTTTCCAAAGACTTTATTTTTAGATTAATTAAATTTTAGTGAACATATACATATGAATATGTAAGTATTTTAAAACTTTTTAGTGTCTTTTTGTCATCTGATTATTTTACAATGTATCTAGCCAGGACTATTACCGTTTTCTATACTGAATACAATTGTTTCTGATATACACATTTCGGTGTGAATTTAATACAATATAGGTTGGTCACAAGGTGACGTAAGTGTCGTATTGTCATGTGTCGTAAAGTTTTGAACGGCTAAACAAATGTTTAGAGGACTTGAAACCACCAACCAAATACTTTTTTTAACGGTGTGAAATTTCATAATACGACTTTTATGGTGGCTTGCGAATCCCTTAAATATAGTTTACTGTTCAATATACTGTTCAATGTACAAAATTGATGACTCCACCCAATAGAAAGAGAACGGTCCAAACTTTAGGGCGAGTCACCCTTCACCTCTCTGGCCGCTGGGGACCCATTTAAAAATGGGGTAAAATTAGCATTTTGCCAGAAAATGTAAACTCGGGTTACGCCAACCACAGGATTTACGCGCAGAATACCTTCCGCGTTGGAGGCCTTCGGCCGCGCTTAGAAAAAATAACCCTAATCTGTCCAACTCCGGCTACACAGTATTTTTTACAAAAAAGTGCATATTTCACACAGAATTTATTAACAATTTACTGTTCGAATTTTTTTTTTAAACTGAATTTTAATCCTATGATCGCAGGCGTATGTTAACATTTTTTTATTTGGGTTAGCGTGTAGACACAATAACCCAAAATCATTGTACAAATAACAGAACCATACCCAACAAAAGACCGTTTGCTTGTTAAAATTTCGATTCTAAGAACAAATTCCTTTAAATAAACAAAAAATTTATAATAAAATTTAAAGGATTTTATGTATTGGATATGATAACACGAAATGTCACAATCTGCTTAACCCTTAATTAGGCGCATGGGGTCAAGGTCACTTCAAGTTGAAAAAACGTCTTAGAGTACTTGGAGCGTGCTCCCGCTCTTTCTAGCTTCCTAACTCCCCGCGGGGTACGTAAATAAGACAGAACATCGGCATGTACGCTACTCTTTTGAGTCCTGACCCCATGCGACCACTTACGTAACATTTTTTATTTTGGTATCTAAGTTTGAAGTCAAAGTTACGCTTTTTTTTCTTAAAGTTAACTATAATAAATAGCTTTAAATTTATGACAATACACATTTCGTTTTATATATTTAGTCACGGCTAGAACATCCTCGCGTACATATGTGTCGCTACTCGCTTGAGTGCTGACCCCATGCGACCACTAACGTAACATTTTTTGGGGGAGGTAAGTTTTATTTTTTTTTTTAAGTTTGAAGTCGAAAATATGTTTTTGTTTTTTTTTTTAAGTTAACGATAATATTGTACTTGAATATTTTTGATAATACACACTTCGTTTTTTTTATTCTGAAAACTCTTTTTTCAACACTTTTATTGGGGCCACTGGGGACCCCATTCGACTAATTGTGTGATTTTCTTTATGCGCCTAATTAAGGGTTAATTGTCAGGTTGTTAATATGGCGACCAAATAGTGACAATGAAACTACCTTCTTTTTTGTATCATGCTCCAAATGTTGGACGATTGTGTTTTACAAAAAGCTCTTTTTCATTTAACAAGTTAAATGGGGCCAATTTGAACGTAATATTAATTCGAGCGATTGATGCAAGATTTCTTGTTTTCTTTTTATAAGCAGCGTTCGACTATTTTATCTAAGCCAATATGAGGCTGGCGAGAAAAACCACTGGCTGTTAAGAGACGGCGGCTATCCCATTGAACCATTCCTTCTAACACCATACAGAGATCCACAATATAACTCCCGCGAATATAAGTTTAATATGGCACACTCCTCAGCGATAAATATTGTGGAAAGAACAAATGGATTGTTAAAAAGCCGCTTCCGCAGCTTGATCAGAACTCTGCATTATAGCCCACAAAAAGTGGTTCAAATTATAAATGCTTGTTGTGCACTCCACAACATATGTAGGCATTATACTAAAATACAATATGGTGAAAATGTTTTGGGGTCGACTGAAACTTTCCCTGATAATAGTGAGGCGTTCCCCCTACCTTGTCGTTACATGCTGAGAGTCGAAGAAGAAGGAATGAAATAGCAGCCAACCTTCCGTAAAAATATTTAAGAATAATATAAAAAAAGCTTTATTGTAAGTTCATAATTATGACATTTCATTTATTTGAATATAATAACTACAAAAATAAATGAATAAAAATAATACTTCAAATATCATTTATTTGAACAAAATAGCTCTTCGTGTTTGACACAAAACTTTAATTTCTTTTCGTTCAATATTCCAGTTTTAAAATTTCGGGATCTAACTGTTTTTTTCAGTTCATTATTTTCCTGCATGACAGCTAACATGCGGACACTAACGTTACACAGTTCTTTTTCATTTATGTTGTTGTCCTTTCAAACGATTCAGTACCTTTTTCTATTGCTTTCGGCTCCCTCTTCGAAGATATCATTGGAATTTCGTCGCTTAGTTCATCGCCTGGCTCCTGGATCTGATCTAATGATATCCGCGGTGCACCCTCTACCGCCCGCGTCATTCCACAAATTCGGACAATGGCTTCTTCAGATTCGGTCAATATATGTTTTGTGAAAGGTCCGCCACCAGTTTCTCGCGTTTCACTTGTATTGTGTGCCAATTTCTTCTTTATTTCGCTTTTCTCAGTCCATACATAGAGAAGATCAATAAATATACCGTTAGAAAAAATTGAAGATTCAATTTACGAGCTTAATTACTCTTTTCCACACATTTGCATCTTTTGTTGGTGGATCTGGCGATTTTAATGTATCGGTCAATTCCTGCCCCAACGAACTTAGGAGGGACTTATCCCGTTTTGAAAATCCCTTCGCTAAGTCTCGGCTTTCTTCCATAAATTGGATCAGAAGAATAATTTGGTCCTGGCTCTTATGTTTTCCCCTTGTTAAGTATAATAAAGTAAAGTAAAGTACATTTACCACTTTCCAATAAACTAAAAATTGGCACACAACACACGACCAAGGATGAAACACGACTTAGTTGCACACTAAAAAAATAATTCTGTCAGCACAAAACGTATCGGTTTAGTTCTGCAAGTAAACTGCTTATCCCTTATGTCATGTCAAAGTGTTTTTATTTATTTACGTCAAACATACAACCGTAGGTTATTTTTACAATGATTGACGTTAAATTAAAAATTTAACAACAAAATTTAAAAAGATTAAAAAAATAAAAAAAGACTAAAATAGAAGTAATAAGACTGGGGCTGTAGAAGGTATTAGAGAAAGAAAAATAGTAGGGATTAAATTGGAAATTAATTGAATGAATGAGAAATTATTTAAGTAAATTCAACAATATTCGGCAAAGTAACGAATTAATTCATGTCTGAAGCGCAAGTTCTCTTTTATACACTTCATTTTTGGGGGTAAATTATTCCAAAGGCGGACAGAGAACACAAAGTATTGACGTTCAGTCACCAAACAACTGTATTTCATTGGGACTAAGTTCAGCGAACGGTAAGATTTGGAAAACAGAAGTCGGTCTTTGAGATATCGGGGCTCCTGAGTAGTAATGATCTTCTGAAGTAACACTAAACATTTAAACTTAAGCAAATCGTCAAAATATGCAGATGCAATTTGCTTTGCAAACACAGAAATGTGGTCATAACGTTTTTTACAGTAGACGTACCTAGCGATGTTATTATACAATACATTAAGTTTACTACGACACACACTATCACAATTAATATACAGCTCACAACCATACAGTTACGTCGGTAACAAATACGTTTTAGCTAGAAGCAGTCGAATTTTCATTGGTGTGAAGTGTTGAGTGGTCCATAGATTTTGGAGCATACCATATACTTTGCCTATGGTGCTAAAAATGTGATTTCTCCACGTCAAAGTTCTATTAAATACAACCCCTAAATTTTTAACAGTATCAACATATTTAATCACAGCATTATTTAATTTAACCTCGATGTAGTC